TTCAGATATAAGTACAGCATTAACTGTATAGGGACGCATGAGAGATGCGTAAAGAAATCCAGCTTCCTGGGTTTTTAAACATGTTTGACAGTGAGCAAACTTATTTTTGTAGCAATTTACTGTATTTTGGGATGGAACTTGAACACTTGACTACTTATGTTTACAAAAACTGTTTGCACAAACCTAGGGTTTTAAAACCCTGGCATAATTTTTCTGCCAAGCAGAATATTTTATTATTTTATAATATTTTTAATTATATTAACATAATAAACTTTATTGTGAAAGTTTTTAAAAAAAAAGGCATCTCTGCTTTTAGTTTTAAAGGCTCTGGTACCTATCCTGTTGACAAACTTTAACTGCTAATTGAGTATGTAAGTGTAGAGGGGTCTCCATGTGGTCCTGCTCTTTGCCCTACTGAACTAAGCCTGTTTTAGTGCTAGTCCAGCAGACAGAGGATTCCTGCCCCCAAAAGCCTAAAATAGAAAGATGCAAGTAGAAAAGGTACTCAGGATGAATCTGCCCAGGAATCTAGCTCTCTTCTAAATCCATGAAAGCAGGAACAGTGTGTTAAGCCTACAGCGGTTCATACTTTTTGAAAGAGTGAATCAAACCCTTGGCTGAGCTAATTGCACCAACTCTGGCTTGCCTTATTTCCATTAAGAGCTACAAGGCTCTAAGCAAGAAGAGGTTGCTGTCCGACATAACCAAACCACATGAATGTCAGGGGGGAAAAATAAAACTGTCCAGAAATGCCATTCACACACTTTAAAAGTCCGTGAACACTGTATCATTATGATGCACTAGGGGAAGGAAAGCTTAGTTAGTTCTTTTGAATTGGCATACACAAAATGGCAAAGGTGCAGACATCTTTAGACTTCAAAAAGGTGTTTCTTGTCTTAAATTCCTGGTGATCTACAGAGCACAGACTTGGTATTTTAAAAGAATATATGACTTAGCTCCATGACAGGATGTAGAGAGCATAAGCCTATAGATTTGCAGCTGTACTTACTAGTGGCTAAATTGCATTCAGAGAAAGTTAAAATACGTTGGACTGTTTCGTAATACCATTTGTAGGAAATTGGTGAAGGCACCACTGGGTTTCCATCTGCTCATAAAATGCAAAATCGGTGCCCCACAGAGCTGTAACTGAATGACTTGAAAATTAATTATTTCCCAGCCAAAACCTGGACAGATGCCTAATTTGGTAAAACATCACCTGCATTATGATGAAGTGATTCTTCCTTCTCTCTGAAATCCATGAAAAGCTGAATTGGAAAACCAGCTGAACCAAATCACTTCAAAGAAGGCACAGACTTTCACAGAAATGTACTCTTATCAGAACAGATCTATGGTGCTTACAGTAACTGTAAGCAGTAAATTAAGTAATCTTTAGAGTTTGGAAGATAAAAGGTCTCTCCCTCTACGGTAATTAACATTCCTTTTAAACCTAAAGCCACTTTTAGGAAACACTGAGTATGTGTTATATAGTGTTCCTTACCAAGTAACTTGTTTAATATCATTTACTCTACACAATCAGCTCTTACATCATTGATGTTTCTTTGGAATAAACAGGTTTCCTCCTCAAACGTGACTAAGGATCACTCACAGTGCATTGGACATGGTGAAAAAGGGAAAAAGAAAGAACATACAGGCAGTATCATGTGACCCTTTACTGTGCTGCTTCCCTAACAATGTTCTTTGGATCAGTCCTGCCTAGCAGTCTCCCATTCCCTTGTCAGTCATCGCTGGCTGAAATTAGCAGACAGCATTTCTGCTTAATTCTAAAACTGGAATTAGTTGCTGAATGATGCATTTTCCCACAGCAGCTGCAAGGATATAAATTGGGGAAGCAGTGAATACTGTGCTATGCAGCAGGGAGCAGAGCAGAGCAAATTGGCTGCCTGAATGTGAATAGCTTTAAGAAGTTAAATTGGGGAGAGGGGGGGGGAAAGTCTTTGTAGGGTGAAGGCTGCCAAACTGGTTTGCTGTCAGCATATATTGTTATCCGTTTCCCTGTCCTCTTTTCCCCAGATCCACATTGTAGTATCTTTTAACCCTTCAGGCCCCAAACTAATGACTCTTGCCTTGCTATATAAATGACTGTCCACATGACAGCATTAGTGGTAGAAGCAGTACAATGTAGCTTAGAAGCTTCTCCACTACCCCTGCTAAAACCAAACAAAACTAGACCTAGATATACAGTAAGAGGCTTCCCACTGAGAAGCATGGAATGAAAAGCATAAGGATTGAGCCCATTTAATTTTCTTCCTGGCAGAAGCAAACCTACTTTCTTTCTCCCTTTTATTGCTTTGGAGTAAGTTTAGCAGAAATGATCCATATCCTCCCACATGAAGTGCCTAAATCCCTTCATTTTAATATGAAATGCAAATGTGGGATAGCTGAGAAAAAAATGTAATCAAAACTATAAATAAGGACAAGAAGGTTAGAATTGTATAAAAAGTGTTTTAAGGAAAGAGGAGACAAAGGTGGCTTGTATTTTTAAGCTACGTATCTTTTCATCTGCCTTGTTCTTCTTCCCCTTCCTTCCTTTCCTTCTGTCTTTCTCCCCAGCATACAATAGTGGCCAGGCAGATCCTCTTTCCAGCAGGTATATATAGGTTGCTCCGAAGCAACTAAGAAATCCTAACCACAGTATGTGTGTTCACAAAGTCACCCTGACTTGCCCTCTGTAAGAGCTAATGAAGGGCACTCTAAAATGTCTGCTTACCTGTGTGCACTGATTTAAGGAGTCTGTCACATCTAACAGACATAGTAGGAGTCTCCTGAAGATTTCTGTAGTAATTCCAGCTGTCAAATCTCTCATCCTGCATTTAATAGTCAGAGAATTTGCAGTATTCTGCACCTAAAGCAATGGAAACACATAACAGTGCAGTGATTTGAATCCTCCCTGCTAAATATTACCTGAAGAGTGGTGTTTCCAGTCCCCCCCCCCTTCTCGCCCAGCTCTTTCCTCTGACCTTTTCACTCCCAGCTGTGGCTCAAAGTGAAGTAAACAGTCAATCTGGTAAAGGACTACAGAAGAATTTGAGTCATGCTCAGGAGCAGAGCAAAGCCACATTTTCTGAAGAGACTGCAAGACTTAGAGTTAGTGGGGAAGGGACAGCTTTAAAAGAATACCATTTGCAGCATGGCTATGTAACCCACGAGGACCCAGGGGGTCTCAGTCCCACAGAGAGCAGCAGGGTGGGAACTGTGCAGCAGGGTCCAGCTGGGTCACTGCTGGATTTTTGAATCTGGGTGATGCAATGACTCACACTGATCATTGCATCACAGTGCAATGATCCTGCAACTGTACAGGCAGCAAGACTGAGGCTTCCTTGCTTTTTAAAGACTGAAACACACATTTGCTTTCGGAGTAGCTTAATTTACATACCATGCTGCAGCTGTAAAACACTTGCTAATGAATAGAGCTAATTAATAGAACTGTAGGTGTTCAGAGAACCTGGTTAATTTAGCCTTGAAGAGTTACCGAATGCTCAGTAGGAGCCTCTTGAATGACAAGCATAACCTTACCCACTGTGAAGCTGTGGTCACACTAATTCTGTTATGATTGAAGTCATTTACAAGAAGTGAGGCTTCAGCTGCAGTCAGCACTGATGCTATTTTCGACAGTCAAGAAAAAAGTGTCCCCTAGGGCAACATGCTGACGGTATCTAGCCATCAATACTCTTCACCCAGCTTGTACTTAATCCTCTATTGAACAGTGTATCCACATCCTGAACCTTCTTCAGAACCAGTATCAGACCTTTCTGTTGTGTTGGGCTCTCCTCCACTGCTCCATTCATGGTGCTGACAGCTGGGTGAGCAATGCATTTATTCATTAATTCCAGCTTTGTTGAGACAAAGGCTGTGTAAGAGCGACTTAATTCAGACTCTACATTGCTTTCTGTGCACTCAAAGTGTAGGCTAACAAATGCATGTGCATGGTTTCCAGGATGTTTCTCCCAATTGCCGAGAAGTGCCATTCAAGACTTTTCATTGCCACTGACTTGTCTGTTGTCATACTTCTGCAGAGTACTCGGATCCTGTCACTGTATCTGACTTTTTCCTCCACAGCTGTTTCCCAACATAGCAACCAAATTTGCTACACTTGGGTCTAATTTGCTCTTTGTGTCACCTTGGAATAAGAGAAACACAGGCCAGCAGGGAGTGTAAAGAAAAGCCCAACTTCTCCTGCTTGTCCCAACATGTAACCACTGCTCAAGTATGGCAGGGCAGCAAAGGCCAAAGAGTCAGAATATAAACTTCTGACTGACAGATGGGTGAGTTAGCCACACGCCAAAAGTATTTCCCCTCTGTCTGGACCTCAGTGACATGCTTTGGATGTGGTTACTGAAGCCAAGAATGATAGGGATGATGCTTGTGCATAGCAAAGCAATTTCCCTGTAGTCTTCAGCTACAAGAAGAGCAGATATTGTGAGGGTGGAATAGCTGCCAAACAGAATAAAGCAAATAACTAACTGTGCCACGAGCCACATTTGCCTAGCTTCCTGGATTCTGTTCCTCTGGATAATATTGGCAAGGCAAAGTAGGATCACCATTCTGCTGTCATTTTAATCTCAGTTATAGGTGCATTTTTTTGTAGCTCCCAGCCATGTAGAAGAATGATAAATCCAGTCATCGCTCTTAAAGAGTTCTGTCTCCTCCTGTGAATCACTACTGCCTAGCCTGCTTCTGCTTCTGAGCACAAAGGTTCGTCTTCACTAACAGAGAGTTCTGGCGGTTTTTTGCTCTCTGCTGCTAACTGAAATAAATCAACTGTGAAGATTTGCTCATTTTTTTTTGCTGAGTAAGATCCCCTGGCCACTGTGCTATGTTTGTAGGTCTGCATGATCCCTCCAGACATGGCTGTGGAAGTAAAGTTCTGACTGAGTAGTAAAAAA